CATTTTTTGATTGCTTGTTATTCTGGATTTCTAAAAAATGTAATTTGTTAAAAACATCTTATCCACAATTTTATCTAATGGATCTTTTAGTGCTTCATGTATTTGATTTTTTAATTTTTCCTCAGAATCTTCTGTTTTGGTAATTTTTAAAATTTTAGGCGGCAAGCTTTTTTTATCCTCAATACTTTCTACATATTTTTTAAGCTCTTTAACTGAAGCTTTGTAATATCTAAAAATTTATAGTATAAATTAATATAAAGTATAATTTCAGAATCTAGATAAATAAAAAATTATTTACAGAATTTCTGGAAACCAATTGAGTTTTCTTCTTTGGTGAGGTAACATCCAAAAAAGTTCAATTTCGGATAATATTTAATAATAAAATATATATAAAATATAGTAATTATTTTATGTTATTGTTATATAATTATTAAATAAAAATTTTTTACCTCTCCTTTTAGTTGTAAAAAAGATTCTTCGTTATTTCTATCATCAATAGCATCTCCAAGTAATGAAATAAATAAATTCAATAAATAAATAGTTGTAAAAAATGAAAATATAACTAATAACAATGCCAATATCCAGTTAACTTTTAAAGCCCATGAAGAAACATAACTTGAATCGCCTAAAAATAAAAAAAACAATTAATATTTTTGATAAAGTTTGATTAATAAATTATTACGCAGTATAATACCTGTTAGCATAAAATATACAGCCAAAATTGAAGTACTAAATAGTGTAAATAAATTTGTGCTATCATCTGGAGTTTTGATAAGTGTTGATTCTCCAACAGTACCATTAGATGAAATAAATTGATATGTAGGAACTAGATTCCAAGGATTATTAGCATCATCAGTAAAACTTGGCTGATTATAAGAATATTCACTATTAGGCCTTAATAAAAGATGTAAAGAGTAGGCAAAAGCCAAAACTATAATTCCTAAAACAACAAGAAAAGAGAAAACTTTTTGTGCCACTCCTATCATAATTGCAAAATAAGTTCCAAAATACTCTAAAACACGGAAGAATAATAAAAATTTGATTTCAAGTAAAAAAGCAGCAATAGTTATAATCCAAGTTGATGGGGTTTTATCATGTAACCATATTAGCGAAGTTATCGTTGGAACTAATATTGCAGCAAGACCTATAATTAAAATTACAATAAAATTAAATTATAAAATTAAAATATAAACTTAAAATATAAAATTAAAATATTAGTACGCATTATAATTGCATACGTATTTTAATTAATTATAAAATTAAACATATATACCAAACTAATTCCAAAAACTACCAATATATACTATTGGTCTATGAATAAACCGACACACTTCAAAAATAAAATGAATAAAACCAAAAAAAATAGTTGCAATCAAAAAGAATCACTTGATTATTCCAAGAAATTTTATGTTCCGGAATTGTTGAAACAATTAAAAAACAGCACATAAAAGTCGAATATATTGCCCATATTACAGAATAATAAAATTTTCCATAGGTATTCTATTTGAAGTTGATAAGTGCTTTAATATTCCACCATTTATAATAATCAGGAGTATTTAGTGGTGAGGTAAAAGGATTACCTTGTAAATAAAATAATTCACTATAAGAATAATTTTTGGGATACGTTGCAAAACCTAATAATGGAACTATTAAAGTTACAGTTTCTTGGGGATAGATAATATTATAAGATGAATAAAGCAAATAAGGAAACACTAAAGTTTTATAAACTTGTGGATAAGATGTTTTTAACAAATTACATTTTTTAGAAATCCAGAATAACAAGCAATCAAAAAATGAAGTATTAGATAAATCATGTGGATTAATATAGATTCCGTGATGTTGAAAATCAAATAATAAAGAATTATCATCTTTAATATGATAACAATTAGAGTCATCAATCAATAAATTAGTCTTGGACAAAAATTTTTCTGTAAACCTTTGATTTTTATCATATCCTTCCAACTTTATTAATGTAAAAGCAATTTTGCCGGTTATTAATATAAAATTAAAAATGTCGCCATTGTTAAGCATCGATGGGCCATGATCACAACAATAATTAAAAACTTTATTAATTTTATCTCTTTCGTTTTTTTTAATTAATTTATGACATATATCATTTCCATATAATTTTAATAATGTTTAAGTTTTCCAATGGTAATTCCTGTTTGCAACTTGTTGAAATAAGTAATTTATAAGTTGGAGGTGGTAAGATCTCAGAATCAAAATTCAAATTCTTTTTAAATAAAGTAAGAAAACTAATCATGGAATGTTTTGTTGATTCTAGTTCACGTTCAAATTTATCGCTCCAACAATAAATTAATTTTATTTCAAAATCTTCAGAATGTTCTATTATTGTATAGATCTGTATGCTAAAACGGGAAACCAACAATATGTCACCATTATTGAGCACTTTTTTTTCAAGGATACTACCATAATCTAAATAAAATATTTTCTTGTTATTTAATGGATATCTGTGGATACGGGATATTCCACAGGATAATAGTACAATCACGTGGCCGTAGGCCACGTGGTTTACTATTATCCTGTGAAAAACCCCGTGTTCACTCATAGGAAGACATTCGCATGATTGGTTAATTTTTGTAGATCTACCCGTGATTTCCCGTGAAAGGTAACCAATCAA